GCTTATGTAGGCAGTAGACTTTTGTGATGGACCCTATGGAGAAAAACATGATCAGACTGGTTCCTAAGCACAACCACCATGGTTGTGCGTGGGGGGGAGGGGTCCTGTGACATAATGAGGGGAGACAGGGAGGGAGTTGTCAGCAGAGGCCAGGTCTGTGTGAGCAGGGGCAGGCTGGGAGCTGCGATTCAGGTGTTAACATCTCTGTATCTTTGCTAGCACCCACAGGCTAGAGAAGCCTGGGACAGTGTGGGTCTACTCACCGTACCCAGCTACCAAGTTCAAGCCACAATTTGGAACTGTGGTGACCCAGAGAGACTTCTCCCTCAGTTCCAAGGGCAGCCATTTCTCTGTCCTTTTTTACTGTTCTATGGCCTGGAGTGTCAAAAATAGAACCGTTGGGTTAGAAGCTTAACCCCTTAGGCATCAGAGGAAAGAATAAGTTTGTTTCAATGGACTGAGAATCTTGAGAACAGCTGTCCTACATCGAAGTGTCAGCTTTCAAGGACGCAGAATTGAAGGTCGCTGGAATGTACAGTGGACATCTGGTGACACATCCAGGAAGCAGGGGGCAGTGGGGAGTTGGGGGCCCTTCCTACTGTCTGCATCGCAGCCAGGGAGGTGTCACCTGGGAAGGTTCTCCCTTGCCTCCCAAGTCTCTGCGCAGTTCGGATAATGTTGATATTTCTACTCTCCTGCAGGTGGCGCCACAATTTAGGTTTTTAAGCTGCTGCCTTCCTGTGGTTTTCATCTAGTGCACTGGGTGCTGTATAAAACCCAGCCATGGGGCCAGCTCTTGGGGGAAAAAAATTTCTCTATAGCACCACCAGGCTCTGGTGATTTATTTAACAAGCAAATCTGGCTTTTATCAACTTAAATAGCAGTTCTGTTCCTAGGCTAATAAAATGGTGGTAGCTAAGTGAAGGAAAACTTAAGGATTTCTTCTCCTCTCTCCTATTAAATCTGGCCCTTTTACTCAGCTGTGAGTGATGGGCCAATACTTTTCTCCTCAAGCCCCTCAATAAACCACAGCCAAATTGCCACAAAAAATCGCCTCCTTGGAAGATAGGACGTTATGAAGCAATATGACATTTCACTTCTCCCTCTTGTGGCCATGGGGCCAGGCAATGACGACTGGGTTTCCTCACCGGCCTGGGGTAGAAGGGGTGACTTACAGATCCGATGTCAGTTGGAGAAAGTTTGGGTTCCTCTTTGCCCCTCACCAGCTGGCAGGGGCTGCAGGAGGTATGAGAGGGAGAAGGGTTTGTAACTCATGCAGAAACCCATTTTGAGCTGTTCTAGAGCTTGCCCTTTCCAGTGTGTCTATTCATAGAGAAGGGTCAAGACAACAGAGGACTTTCCTGCCCCCCTGTACTGTGCCATTAAAAAAGGGGGGGGGGGATATGTCCTTCTGCAAAGCAGTGCTAATTCCTTGGATGTGTATTGCATGTATTCGAGAGTTTCCAAGTGCATGAATAGGTAGCATTTCCTTTGAATGTCACTATCTTTAAGGGGTAAGTGGGGCAGATGAGAACGTGAGATCTCCAAATCATAGCATTCATGGGTGGCGGTGCCTAGGTCTAGGACCAAGTCTTCTTGCTTCCAGTGTAGAGTCCTACCCATCCTACCCCATCTCACTCTCCAGCTTTGAAAGAAGAAATCCAAGAGCCCATAATAATAATAATAATAATATCAAGCCCCACACTGCTGCTAATTTGACCCTTCCTGTTCTCCCTTACAATGGTATTATATAACCACCCATGCAACATAGCTTCCTCCATGTTACTAACTGGAGGGGAAGGAGGGAGAACATGGTTAGCCATATGGCCCTGTTAATGATGAGAGACTCAGCTGGGGCCACTCACCGTCCCGTGGTTGGGCCAACTTTTTGCCTCCCTTCTTTTCTGTCATTTGGTTCTGTTATTACTCTTCAGGCACCACATGACATCCGTTTTTCTGAATGAAAATAAGTGACATCACACACTAGGCAGAAGATAAAGAATAATAAATATATTTTATTTGCCACCTCTAAAAAAGGTGTTTGACTTACCATCCATCCATCCATCCATCCATCCGAAATTGACCCTGGGGCTCACCAGCAATATTCACACACACACACACACACACACACACACACACACACACACACAATGCACAAAGAGGCTACAGGAGGGAAAATCAGTTATATTAAAAATACATGTTAGGGGTGCCTGGATGGCTCAGTCGGTTGAGTGTCTGACTTCGGATCAGGTCATGATCTCACGGTTCGTGGGTTCGAACCCCGCGTTGGGCTCCGTGCTTATAGCTCAGAGCCTGGAGCCTGCTTCAGATTCTGTGTCTCCCTCTCTCTCTGCCCCTCCCCTGCTCGCACTCTGTCTCTTTCTCAAAATAAATAAACATAATTAAAAAATACACGTTAGAATGGCTGAGAATAGAGGCAAAGATGTTTTCTTGCTTCCTCTTGCTTTCAGCATTTTTATGACATACCCTGAAAGCTGAGTGGCAAACACGTTTGAAAGGCTCGCCTCCTCCCCCACAACCCCACTCTGCCTTTATTGAGCCATATTCCTTAAGCAACCCATTATGGTTTTCCATGGGGTTATCTATCTGTGCTGTCACCTCTGGGAAAGGCTTGTGATGATCCTGTGCAGAAATTTTAGAGCAGAAACCTTAGAGTGGGACCAGGGCCGGTGCGAGGCCAGCCTTACAGGACCCTGAGCCTGAGCACCTCCTTAAGTTTTGCATCCTGGGTGCCTCACCCTAATCTCAGTCCTTCCTAGAGAGGCATTTGGCCCTGGGCTTCCTCAGCCTGGATGGAGGTCCAAGGAACAGTGGCATTGAGTTATTTTGTTATGTGTTTCTCCGGACTTCCTAAACTAACCTGATATTGCAGGCTTTATCTAGAGTCTGGAATCCAGGGTTTCTGAGAGGACAGGAGCCAGATCAATGTATTAAGGCACGCTAATGAGATAACTCCTTGCTGCTTTCTGGGCCATGCAGTGCTCTGCAGAGAACCAGAGGCCACAAGGGCTCCACGCTGTCTCCTGGAACAACCTCTAACCAAACAAGCAAATGTCTCGTGTCCTCCTCGCCCTGGCTCTGGCTTGGCTCATCTTTTCATTGAGGCCCCCACCTTTGAGAGCAAAGCTTCAACAAGGTGCTGTCTGGACGGACCTGCCTGACCTGACTATGTTGCCTTGGGGCTGGTAGAGCTGGTCAGCTCCCAGCGCCTTTCAAAGACTCGACAGTTTACAACTTGGATTTCTGTGAAAATATAACCCCTACAGGAAGGTGTCAGGATTTATGCTGTCGTCCATCACGTCCACCTAATGGGAAGATTCTCAAGAGATGTTTTGATGGGAGGGACAGTAAGGGGCAGGAAAGGAAGTTGGGCGCCTATAGGAAAAGGAAAGTTGAGGAGTCCTGAGAGAGGAGGCCAACAACTCTGGCTCCTTTGGATGGTCCTCAGCGACTGCTGCCCACGTGAGGAGGCACTTAGTGACACAACTGATGGTTCCCTGGGACTATGTTGGGGGTGGGGGGCAGGGCCTTGTGCAGAGCTGGTACCTGAGTGTGGGAATCTTTGAGGCTTCTCCTGGTGGGAGGGGGGCACACTCCCAGGAGGATCTAGGCAGAGGTTTCAGAGGTGGTGCTACCCACTTCCTTTCCGCATATTTCCTCTCTGCCAGATGGCTGTCGAAACCACAGCAACGTGATTTCTTTCTTCGGACTTCCGAAACTGCCCTGATGTCGGCATTGTCTGTTCTGTGGTCGAGGTTTCTGAGAACAGGAGCCAGGTCAGCCCCTCAATATAAACATGAATAGACGCGTCAGGTTACTGAGTAAGCTCCAGGGCACTCGGCCATTCATGCTCTCTCGCCCGGGCCTCCGTCCTTGGGTGCCGCGGAGGGGTGCTGGGGTTCTGATTAGGGTTAGGTGAATGCGCCTGTGTCAGCTCTGCGCACCTGAGGGTCCCTCCGACCGGCAGCGCCCGCATCCCGAGGAGACTGAGCGTGCCTCCTTCCGAGTGGGCGCCCCGCGCCCGTGTCACCGCGTACCCGTCCCTCTCTGCCCCACATCGCCACCGGCAGGGTCGTTGGGCGCGGGCCGAGGGGACGAGGGGGGTGTCCGCCAACGTCCGTGCGGGGGGGGAGCGCCGGCGGGGCGGGCGGCCGCGGGCGCGGAGTGGAGGAGGCGCCCCCTGCCCCCTCTGCCGGCCGCCCTCCGTCGGTCTAGATGTCAGTCGCGAGCTCCGAGCCAGCCCGAGCGAGCCAGAGAGGGAGCGGCGGCGGGCGGCGGGCGGCAGGGGAGGGGAGGAGGCGAGGCGAGGGAGGGAGGCAGGGAAGCAGGGAGGGCGGGAGGGAGGAGAGGAGGACCCAGAGAGCGCCAGGCAGCTGGAGTTTTTGCAGCGCTTGGCCGGGCTTCAATGCACAGCAGCAGCGAGCCGCGGCGGCAGCAGGCAGCCCGGGAGCTCCGGCGGCGGCCGAGCCAGCGGCGGCCCCGCTCCCTGCCCCCTGCAAACTTTGCGAGCAGCCCGACCGGGGGGCA